TTTTTGCAGTGTTCTCCGTGACGTGAGCTCATTTTACGGTTGCAGCGTCTGAACAATGACGTTTAGGACACATCCAGACGCTGCTCTGTGTTATGGTTTCTATGACGACGGAATAAAAATGTTGTGATTTTGACTGAGTTGAGCTAAAAGCCTCATATTTACCGGAGGCTCAGGTGCAAAGCCACAAGTGCCGCCGCTGGTCACACACAAAGAATGAGTCTGGTGTGGGAGGGGCCAGCGGCACAGACTGATGTGGTGGGTGGTGGTGCTGGGTGGGTGGCAGTGGGCGGTGGTTGTTGGTGGGTGGGTGCCGGCAGTAGGTGGTGGCAGTGGTTGTTGGTGGCTGGGTGGGGGCAGTGGGTGGTGGGGGGTGGTTGTTGGTAGGTGGGTGCCGGCAGTGGGTGGTGGCTCTGGTTGTTGGTGGTGGTGGGTGGTGGCGGTGGTTGTTGGTGGCGGTGGGTGGTGGCTCTGGTTGATGGTGGCGGTGGGTGGTGGCGGTGGTTGTTGGTGGCTCTGGTTGATGGTGGGTGGTGGCGGTGGTTGTTGGTGGGTGGTGGCGGTGGCGGTTGTTGGTGGCGGTGGCGGTGATTGTTGGTGGCGGTGGTTGTTGGTGGCGGTGGGTGGTGGCGGTGGGTGGTGGCTCTGGTTGATGGTGGCGGTGGGTGGTGGGGGTGGGTGGTGGCTCTGGTTGTTGGTGGCGGTGGGTGGTGGCTCTGGTTGTTGGTGGTGGTGGTGGTGGTGGTTGTTGGTGGGTGGTGGTGTGGTGTTGGTGGGTGGTGGTGGTTGTTGGTGGCGGTGGGTGGTGGCGGTGGGTGGTGGGTGGTTGATGGTGGCGGTGGGTGGTGCCTCTGGTTGTTGGTGGCGGTGGGTGGTGGCGGTGGGTGGTGGCGGTGGGTGGTGGCTCTGGTTGTAGGTGGATGCTCTGGTTGTTGGTGGCGGTGGTGTGGCGGTGGGTGGTGCTCTGGTTGATGGTGGCGGTGGGTGGTGTGGTTGTGGTGGCGGTGGGTGGTGGCGGTGGGTGGTGGCTCTGGTTGATGGTAGGTGGATGCTCTGGTTGTTGGTGGCGGTGGGTGGTGGCGGTGGGTGGATGCTCTGGTTGTTGGTGGGTGGTGTTGGTGGGTGGATGCCGGCGGTGGGTGGTGGCAGCTTTTAGAAAGTCCATAAATTAAGCTAAATTTAGCCAAATTTCAGACATTTTTTGACCTAATTTTCATATTTTTTTTGCACTTTCATCCTGAGGTGGAGCCAGAACAGTCTCCTTTGGACAAAACCAAGCAACAATTATTTACATAAATCTAAAAGTCTTTGTCTCATCGTCACAAACTGCTCAGATCAAAACAACTCTTTTCAACCTCATTCTTGATCAGGTTTTTGCAGCACAAGCTTCAGCCGTGTCTTCTCCGTGTCTTCTCCGTGTCTTCTTTGTGTCTTCTCTGTGTCTTCTCCGTGTCTTCTCCGTGTCTTCTCCGTGTCTTCTCCGTGTCTTCTCCGTGTCTTCTCTGTGTCTTCTCTGTGTCTTCTCCGTGTCTTCTCCGTGTCTTCTCCGCGTCTTCTCCGCGTCTTCTCCGCGTCTTCTCCGCGTCTTCTCCGCGTCTTCTCCGCGTCTTCTCCGTGTCTTCTCCGTGTCTTCTCCGTGTCTTCTCTGTGTCTTCTCCGTGTCTTCTCCGTGTCTTCTCCGCGTCTTCTCCGCGTCTTCTCCGCGTCTTCTCCGCGTCTTCTCCGTGTCTTCTCCGTGTCTTCTCCGTGTCTTCTCCGTGTCTTCTCCGTGTCTTCTCCGTGTCTTCTCCGTGTCTTCTCTGTGTCTTCTCCGTGTCTTCTCCGTGTCTTCTCCGTGTCTTCTCCGTGTCTTCTCTGTGTCTTCTCTGTGTCTTCTCCGTGTCTTCTCTGTGTCTTCTCCGTGTCTTCTCCGTGTCTTCTCCGCGTCTTCTCCGCGTCTTCTCCGTGTCTTCTCCGTCTTCTCTGTGTCTTCTCTGTGTCTTCTCTGTGTCTTCTCTGTGTCTTCTCCGTGTCTTCTCCGTGTCTTCTCCGCGTCTTCTCCGCGTCTTCTCCGCGTCTTCTCCGCGTCTTCTCCGTGTCTTCTCCGTGTCTTCTCCGTGTCTTCTCCGTGTCTTCTCCGTGTCTTCTCCGTGTCTTCTCCGTGTCTTCTCCGCGTCTTCTCCGTGTCTTCTCTGTGTCTTCTCTGTGTCTTCTCCGTGTCTTCTCTGTGTCTTCTCTGTGTCTTCTCTGTGTCTGTCTTCTCTGTGTCTTCTCTGTGTCTTCTCCGTGTCTTCTCCGTGTCGTTCTCCGTGTCTTCTCCGTGTCTCCGTGTCTTCTCCGTGTCTTCTCCGTGTCTTCTCCGTGTCTTCTTCGCGTCTTCTCCGTGTCTTCTCTGTGTCTTCTCCGTGTCTTCTCCGTGTCTTCTCCGTGTCTTCTCCGCGTCTTCTCCGTGTCTTCTCTGTGTCTTCTCCGTCTTCTCCGTGTCTTCTCTGTGTCTTCTCTGGACGTACACCACGGAGACAGGAGGATCTTAAACTTAATGCTGTCGGAAAACGCCCACGATTTACGAGTCTGATTTAAGACCGGGATTATCGGCGGCTTGTAACGGCTACAATCGCTTTGGACAAACTCGTTCTCGGTTCCCAGCCAGAGCCAGAGCTCGGCTTCCCGTTCGGACCGGCGTGTGTGTTAGCGAACGGATTAGCACACCTCGTAAAAGCGGGACGGACAAATGGCTGCGGTTTCAAACTTCAGACTGTTGGCTTTTATGGAGCAGCTGTTGACGAAAATAAACCGGCAGTAAAAGTGAAATGACTTGTGTTCTTTTGTTTATGGATGTTTTAAAAGTGGCTTCGGCTCATAAAACCCGAGGGGACGGTCGGGTGTCGTTAAAGAGCTACGTATGCGTCATGCTAATTGACAGACATGACATTATGAGATTATTATTATCACGGTGCCCAAATTAAGAAACATTTAGCCAAACTTGAGCAATTCTTTACTTATTTTTCATCGCTTTTTACAGTGCAGTGGCCCCCCTCCCTATGGACAAGGGGCCTCCAACCTTTTTCAGTCAGAGAGCGACTTTTATACAAACGCAGAGGCAGAGAGCTACTCCTTGTTGCAGTCGTAATGAAAATACATCTAACAACTACGACAAAACACGGAGAACACATGTAAACTACACCATAATACTGTATAACAATTCTAATTCCTTTGGCAAGCTACATGAAAGGGGCTGGCGAGCTAGTGGTAGCTCCCGAGCCACAGGTTGGAGACCCTTTCTGCTATGGACCAGCGGCTCCTGTGTACAGTATGTGTTATCATTGAGGTTTGATTTCCTGATCTGTTGTTTGCGAATCACTAACATTGTAAAGTTCTCTGTCATTTAAGACCATAGAAAAATGAATGTAATGGAATTGATTCATAAAAAGGTGTATGGGCAACACGTATTGTATATAGTGTCTCTGAAATAACATAATTATACAGTATTTCTACATATTTTGTGACGTAGTTAATTCAGAATCTAATAGTTTTTGTCAATAAATTCTCCAGAACAAACCTCTCAAACCAACGTGTCCCGGTCTCTTTGAAACGTGTCGGACAGAGCAGGTCTTTCGTCCGCCTCGACCAGCGCCTGTCATTTTGAGCGGTTCATTAGGAGCACTTTTTGGCAGGCGCAGAGCGGGGCATCCATATTCATGAGCGAGAGATGAAAGCAGCACCTGCGATCGGCTCAAGTGGACACAACTATCCCAGCGTCGGCTCCAGACTCTGACCAACAGGCGACAATCTGCCGGAGGAGGGGAGCTGCCACTTCCAAACCCACGGCTAAAGACCAGGACACAGACAGATCACCGCCACAACCGCTGCACCACGGCCTGGAGCTGCACCACGGCCTGGAGCTGCACCAAGGCCTGGAGCTCGGTCCGGAGCTGTACCAAGGCCTGGAGCTGCACCAAGGCCTGGAGCTCGGTCCGGAGCTGTACCAAGGCCTGGAGCTGTACCAAGGCCTGGAGCTGTACCAAGGCCTGGAGCTGCACCGCGGCCTGGAGCTGCACCGCGGCCTGGAGCTGCACCAAGGCCTGGAGCTGCACCAAGGCCTGGAGCTGCACCAAGGCCTGGAGCTGCACCAAGGCCTGGAGCTGCACCAAGGCCCGGAGCTGTACCAAGGCCTGGAGCTGCACCAAGGCCCGGAGCTGCACCAAGGCCTGGAGCTGCACCAAGGCCTGGAGCTGCACCAAGGCCTGGAGCTGCACCAAGGCCTGGAGCTGCACCAAGGCCCGGAGCTGCACCACGGCCTGGAGCTGCACCAAGGCCTGGAGCTGCACCAAGGCCTGGAGCTGCACCAAGGCCTGGAGCTGCACCAAGGCCCGGAGCTGCACCAAGGTCCGGAGCTGCACCAAGGCCTGGAGCTGCACCAAGGCCTGGAGCTGCACCAAGGCCTGGAGCTGCACCAAGGCCTGGAGCTGCACCAAGGCCTGGAGCTGCACCAAGGCCTGGAGCTGCACCAAGGCCTGGAGCTGCACCAAGGCCCGGAGCTGCACCAAGGCCTGGAGCTGCACCAAGGCCTGGAGCTGCACCAAGGCCTGGAGCTGCACCACGGCCTGGAGCTGCACCAAGGCCTGGAGCTGCACCAAGGCCTGGAGCTGCACCAAGGCCTGGAGCTGCACCAAGGCCCGGAGCTGCACCAAGGCCTGGAGCTGCACCACGGCCTGGAGCTGCACCAAGGCCCGGAGCTGCACCACGGCCTGGAGCTGCACCAAGGCCTGGAGCTGCACCAAGGCCTGGAGCTGCACCAAGGCCTGGAGCTGCACCAAGGCCCGGAGCTGCACCAAGGTCCGGAGCTGCACCAAGGCCTGGAGCTGCACCAAGGCCTGGAGCTTGGAGCTGCACCAAGGTCTGGAGCTGCACCAAGGCCTGGAGCTGCACCAAGGCCTGGAGCTGCACCAAGGTCTGGAGCTGCACCACGGTCTGGAGCGGCACCGGTGCTGGTTCTGGGAGCTAGAGGCTCGAATTGTCAGAGTCTATTTGAAGTGCCCTGAATCTCAACAGCAGTCGTCTCAGAGAAATGCAGTAAAACAAGATTCTCCAATTCGACAAATACATTTTATTTTATTTTAAGAACTGTTGCTTTACTTTCTCATTCCAAGAGAGACATTTGAACATTTTTTGCAGTGTTCTGGCTTCACCAAAAGATGAAACGGCAAAGAAAATGATGAAAATTAAGTCGAAAAATGTCTAAAATTTGGCTAAATGTATCTTAATTTGAGTACACTGTGACTAAGCCTTAAAACTAGATTTGCCGATGATACAGAAGCAAATAAAAATACTGTATATTCTAGAGCTAGAAGTCTATAGGTGTATAATTACACCTGTATAAAAACACAGGAGCCGTTGGTCCGTAGGGAGCGGGCGACCAACGTCCACTGCACACAATGATGAATGTGAGCTCAACATTTCTTGAATTAAGTGTTTTGTTTCTTTACGACAGTCTCAAAACTACATTGTTTTAGTCTTATGTCAAAAACTGTTCCTTTATTTTCTCTTTCCAAAGGAGACATTTCTGTATCTTTTTAAAACAAGATCATTTTGCTTTGTCTCATTGGTGAATCTGGTTTTAAGGCAGAATGTGCTCATTTCCACTGAGAGAAATAGTATACTTCTTTGAGGGGGAAATATTCTGTAAGGAGTGCTGTCTTGATCATTGAAGGTCTTTGAAAATAATACAATTCCATATTCCCACCTCTGCACCTTCTCCACCGACTCCCACTGATGACTGCTGTCGTTGTGTCCTTGGGCAAGACACTTAACCCCACTTTGCCCAAAGCCCCCACTGAAAGATCAAGGCTATGCTCACAGTCAGAGAGCAGCCTCCTGTGGACTCACCACCTGCAGAGGGTCAGTGAGGGGCTGGTGCTATGAGACTTGGGTGGCATCTCTGACTGCCACCCCCCTGACCCAGAAATGGATTAAAGGGTAGAAAATGGATGGATGGACAATTCCATATGGCCGCCAACCAGTGCTAAAATATTATGTAAAATCTGGATCAGGGAATTTCTTTCTATCCCAAATTCCTTTCATACTTAGGATATTTCACACTGACTGTTGATAGTTATGCCAAATTTGAGGCATTTTTAACTTTAACTTTTTCTGTACTTTTTGCAGTGCAGGGCCTGGTACTGGGAGAATATTGAATATAACTGTTTTATTGTGCGCCAACAGAGAAATGCAGTAACACCAAACACACAGGAGACAGCGGTCCATAGGGAGCGGGACGACCAACATGCTAATACATGTCCATAAATGTCCCCATATGTTCCGGATTATTAGCATTAGCCACGCAAAAGGCACGTACTGTAAATCTGCCAAGACAACCAAACAAATATGGAACAAACCCAAAGACACTGTGCCAGGAGGACAGAGAGCACGTACGATCGAAAGTTTCACAAAACACCACAGCTGCGAGAGACGAGTCCTCTCTCTTTCACTTTTCTGTCTGTCTGAGTTAGCATTGTCACTCAGGCAGAGAGAGAGGCAGAGAGACAGAGAGAGAGGGAGAGACAGAGACAGAGACAGAGGCAGAGACAGAGACAGAGACAGAGGCAGAGACAGAGACAGAGACAGAGGCAGAGGCAGAGACAGAGGCAGAGGCAGAGGCAGAGGCAGAGACAGAGACAGAGGCAGAGACAGAGGCAGAGGCAGAGGCAGAGGCAGAGGCAGAGACAGAGGCAGAGGCAGAGGCAGAGGCAGAGGCAGAGACAGAGACAGAGGCAGAGGCAGAGGCAGAGGCAGAGGCAGAGGCAGAGGCAGAGGCAGAGACAGAGACAGAGGCAGAGGCAGAGGCAGAGGCAGAGGCAGAGGCAGAGACAGAGGCAGAGGCAGAGGCAGAGGCAGAGGCAGAGGCAGAGGCAGAGGCAGAGGCAGAGACAGAGACAGAGGCAGAGGCAGAGGCAGAGGCAGAGGCAGAGGCAGAGGCAGAGACAGAGACAGAGACAGAGGCAGAGGCAGAGGCAGAGGCAGAGACAGAGACAGAGGCAGAGGCAGAGGCAGAGGCAGAGGCAGAGGCAGAGGCAGAGGCAGAGGCAGAGGCAGAGGCAGAGGCAGAGGCAGAGGCAGAGGCAGAGGCAGAGGCAGAGGCAGAGACAGAGACAGACAGAGGCAGAGGCAGAGGCAGAGGCAGAGGCAGAGACAGAGACAGAGACAGAGGCAGAGGCAGAGGCAGAGGCAGAGACAGAGGCAGAGGCAGAGGCAGAGACAGAGACAGAGGCAGAGGCAGAGGCAGAGGCAGAGGCAGAGGCAGAGACAGAGGCAGAGACAGAGGCAGAGGCAGAGGCAGAGGCAGAGGCAGAGGCAGAGGCAGAGACAGAGACAGAGGCAGAGGCAGAGGCAGAGACAGAGACAGAGGCAGAGACAGAGACAGAGGCAGAGGCAGAGGCAGAGGCAGAGGCAGAGACAGAGACAGAGACAGAGACAGAGGCAGAGGCAGAGGCAGAGACAGAGACAGAGACAGAGGCAGAGACAGAG